AAGCACTGTGTAACTGCCTCGAGGGTGCTTGACCATTTTAACACAACGTGGTGCGATCATCCCCCTTGCGCGGAGTGAGGGTTCTCCACCCCGCACAACATGATCTACTCGACCACCATTACGGTTACCGCCAAAAAAAAAACGGAGGTAAAAAAAAAAAAACGGTAACCTGGTTGCGGAGTTCACGAAGTGAATTGGCTTGTTTTACAACGTCTTTGCCAAGCGACGAAAACCCAATCCCGATGGCAAACACCGGGGGGGGCGGTTTGTTTTACAACGTCGTTGCCAAGCGACGAAAACCCAACCCCGATAGCAAACACCGGGGGGGGCGGCTTGTTTTACAACGTCGTTGCCAAGCGACAAAAACCCAACCCCGATGGCAAACACCACCGAGGGGGGGTGAGTTATTGTACTAGCCGGCAGCCTCGGCACGAATTGCATTGCCGCATTTCAAGCGTTCGGGAGAGATGGCGTTGTTATTGGAACGGGGGCACATCAAGTCAAACTCTCTCTCTCTATGCTAGCAGAGACCAGCAGAGAATAATCTTCCGCGGGGAGGACGCGCCCGTCTACACCGGGAGGCCAAGTGCGTGCTCTTCTTCCTGTCTGTGTGCTCCTCTTTGCTGGCGGTGCTTCCACCACCTCTACGTCATCGGTTGTCGCTGTCTCCGCGGTTTCGGCGCTCGCGGTACTCTTCCCCCTCGCCTCAACCTGAGTGTAACGGGCAGCTGTTACTGACCGAAAGCCGCGCAAACAAGCCCAGCTTGGCTTTCTGACCGTGAAGACTCCCTCTTGTTGGTGCCGCGCCCAGAATTTAGAGTGTCGTTGATACGACCGAAAACTTGCGCATCTTCATGGAATTCCTCCTGCGACCGGACGAAGGGCACTTCCATGCGACGCCACCGGGCCAAGCGGCACGTAGGGACTCTGGACCAGTCTTATCAAAGGCACCCACCCGCAGTCATTAACGAACGTGTTTTCTTAGTTGTATTGTTTCGGATACATGCGGTCGATGCACTCATCCCCGAAACAGAGACAATCAATTGACGCGTACACATGCTGTGTAGGCCAAGTGCGTCCAAACGCATCGTACGCACGAGGCGTCGGAAACCATTCTTGAAACTAGACTACTTGCTTTCTGATTGCAGCACATAAAGCGCGGAGAGCAAGAAGTGCACGTCCGCACGGCAGCACGAGCAGCACCAAGTACAGCGGTAGTAGGTGATTGATGATGGATGAGAGGCTTTTTTGTTCACGCCGTCAAACAGCAGTCAAATTCGTTCCTCCCGCGTTGCTACAATACACAGCAGAGAGTCCTGCAAATATCACATGTAAAGTTGCAATGGTGACCTCCGTGTGATGGTTAGGCCCCAACCACGTTTGTTTACCGGACTACGTGTGCTTCTCTGTTTCCGTATCTTCGAATATGTGTTTCTGCAGCAGCAGCCAAATAACGATCATACCCACATTCCATACGACAGCAGTCTTCCGCTGTATCCATCTCAGCAAACAATCCCACCACAGCGAGAGAGACCGGCACACACACGACAATGAGCAGTGTCCAAAAGAGCGTGTGGCACCGGACTGTCGGTGCGGGCCCCACCATCCATGACAGACACGCGACCTTGCTTCAAGCTGAGCCATGGGTTTGTTGCTGCTGCCGAACTATCCACGAACCACCTTGATTCGCCGAGGTCTCCCTCCCAGGTTGTTGTCCTGCTGTCCATGTATGTATGTATGTCCACACATATTTCGTTCTTTCGGTGGAACCTTTAGAGATTATGATTCCGGTGGAATATTGTACTAGGATTCGAAAAAAAACCGGCGACATTTATATTTGTCGTGCCATGATGTATTACTTACTTTAAAGTATGGGGAAAAATACACCAGTACAAGAGCTCAAGACGCGGGCGACTACCACCCCCCCCGTCCTTGGATTGCTCCGCCGCTCTCCCTGTGAGGTGGACACGAACGTTATTGGGAATGTCATCTTAGTGTGCACTGCCGCCCTCAGCGGTCTGTGGTGTTGAGACTGGTGCTATGTTATTATCCCAGGAACAGCAGATGAAAAAGGACCATGTACTAGATATATCCGTCCCGCAAGCCCCTCAGGCAAGCTGATCACCAACACGCAAGCACCTCAGGCAAGTGCCGGGAGCACACCGCCGTGTGCTCACCTGCCAATCTGTCACACAACCTGCGGTTTCTATAAACTGCTCATGAGACGCTCATGAACGGCTCATGAGACGCT